CAACTGCCGAGTGCAGCACGTGCTGAATAATGGCCTTGCAGACTGCATCAGAAGGTGCTCAAGACAAGCACCTATTGCCACGCACTGGGCGCCCCACCCGAAACCTGCAAAGCCTGTGGCAAGAAATTCGCACTGTACAGCTGAATTTTCATCTGAGCGTTGCTAAATCTATGAAAGAGGCATGACTTCTAGTCTGGTCGTGAGGTTTAAGGTCCGATTTTTTGGCGAAAGCTGATAGGTGTGAACTCTCAACTGATCTCTCCCAAGTCTCACAGCCGATAGTGGTCCAACACAATTTCCCACTGTCCTTGTGCTATGGATGAGATTGAGTAGTGCGCTCATCTGGTTCCAACACTCGTAGTTTGTCTCTTGAGACAGAAGCCTGTCAGAGCCCTGCTGCAAAGGTGGATGACGAGTTCAAGAAGAGGCCGCTTGAGCACACAACATGGAATCTAGAATCTAGAATTTGGAGGCTACTCTGGTGTGCATAAGACGCAGAATATGTAGATGCTATGTCGGTGATTGTCTCTGGATCGGTGCTACTCAGCGGGGGCAGTTGATGATACAGCTATCGCTGATGATGATGGTAATTACCAGTCACTTTATCACTGTTGCACTTGCGTAGTGACATGCTAATCCTGGCAGTGCCTCTGACTTCCATTGCCGTACTACTTCCAAGTATACTTGGTCTCAGATCCTGGTGGCTCAAAATTCGATTCCCAGAATTTCGTGAGCGATGGGACTAGGGGGAAGTATCAATGAGTAGAAGTAGTCCAAGAATGCATGGTAGCATCCCAAGAATTGTGGTAGTTTCCAAAATTAGGGGGACCCAATGTAGACCCTGAAATGCTATAATCCTTATTATGGGGACCCGAAAAAGTATATACCCCTAATTTTGGTGAACCCCCCTGTGTTTGGCTTCTTTGGCCCTGCAAGGATGGATCAGCTGAACGAGACCCTGGCGGCTGGCGCTCCTGAACGGGAGGCTCGCGCGCAGAAGGCGCCAAGAGCATGCCCAAATTCCCAAGAGGCACGCACACCTATGACAGCCTGCTGTCACGCACAACGACAGTAGCTGGATGCGTTTTTTCATGCCATCATTGCAGTTGCAGTAGCAAGAAGGGTGGCAAATTGTTCGCAGGTGTCTGCAACAGCTGCTGAGCTCGAGGCAGCGAAGGTCAAGGAGCCGAGACAGCTTTGATTTCTGTTTTTGCACTCCGGGTAGTATAGCTACTTTTGAGGCTACTTATGTACGCTAAGAGCCTACTTGTTGCGGTCCTCACTTTCCATGCTTGTTGATTGAACGCTTTGAGTTTGCCTCCGCAGTCGCCGTGAAAAGGTTCGACTTACCGGTAGTTGTTG